TTATGAAAATGTAAATTAAATCAATGATCATGATCGCTCTGGAATTTAGAACAGGAAAAGATTTAAAATGAATCTGTGTGTGTGTGTCTGACAAATGGAAATTGTATATAAATGGATTATTTCTTCTGGAAAAGGGGGCAGAATTTGTAAGATGTTTTTCTTCATTCTGCTCCTTTTCGTTCAAATTTGATTTTGTGTTATGTGTTTCTTATTGTTTATATGTTTTATTTGTTTTTATTTTGAATGAAATAAAAAAGAGAAAAAAAATTCCCTTTAGCAACTGGAAACTGCAGAACTCCGTACATCCTTGCATGTCTGCACAAAGGAAACATGCTAATGCTTTATATTAGTTAACATAATTAAAGCCAACAGATATCTGTCCATCAAATCCTAGCTTTGACAGAAAACAGGGATTAAAGAAAGGATGAAAATGGTTGAAAATAGTTGTTGGGAGCCTGAATCGGACTCATTTTCTCCGTCAGACAAAGAGAGTTGGGTGAGTAATGTTCCAACCAGTCATTTGCTCCAAGCAGTCAAGTGCAAGTACAGATGCTTTGCAGATGGAGCTCTCTCTCTCTCTGTGTGTAGCAATACGAGCGAGGCTTGTGTTGCACAATTTGTCTTTTGCTGTACAGACACAGAAATACACTGCAGGCCGCCTCCACAGAAAAACCAGCCGCCCTCACTGACCCAATGCCTGTTTCTTCCCCCTCCTCCTCTTCCTCACCACTCAGCTTCGTGGAGATTTATCTACGTGTAAAAGTTCATCTGCTTTCTTCATTCTGGACACATCATTTGCATTAATTTCCATTTTTGCGTTCAATCATGTGCTAACTGACACCAGGAGGCTGGTGTTGTCTTAGATCTACCATCTGAAAAGACGAGAGGGGAAAAGAGAGAATCAGTGTCTCCCTCTGATGTGTCTATGTATAGACAATTGTTATCTTTTTTCACTCTTCTCATCCTTCATCTTCTGGAGGAGATGAACTGCTCCCTAAAGCGCTGTTCTCTTCTGCGAGGATCACCGTGGGAGTTTGGGATCATGAAGAGAGCAGATCGAAGTTTGTTGTTAAAGAATTCGACTCCATGATGTATCAATGACCGTAGCGCTGAGCTGCAGGATTCAGCCAGACACACACACACACACACACACACACACGCACACACACACACACACACACACACGCACACACACACACGCGCACACACACGCACACACACGCACGCACACACACAGACACACACACGCACGCACACACACACACACACACACACACACACACACACACACGCGCGCGCACACCAGATCTTCTATCGTTAGGTTCTATGGAACACATAAAACCTCACCTGTTGCAGCCGCAAACAAAACGTTGCAGGTAAATAAAACCTTTCTGTGTTTCAAAAAGAACTAAAAGATGGAATTAGAGATTTGATCTGACCAGATTGATAAGCTAATGGCTAGTCCCGATGGAATTGAGACAAATCTCAAACATCTCATGGCTGCCGATGGGAATTGAAATTTAAAAGCCTTTCTTCTTCCGCCTCTTGGAGAGTACAGACACTTTTTTCTCCTCTCCTCTCCCCTGCTCCTCCCAACGCTCTCTATCCTGTCTGCCTGTGCACTGCGCTTCTCTGCATTTTTTCTGGAAACTGGAAATTATTGAAAATGGATCTGGTCAGTTGGCCTCTCAACGCAATTGACAAAATCTTTTGAACAACGATGAGAATGGGAGAAGGGGCTCCCTGGTGCCCCTCTGGGACAGAGCCGGCTGGGCATATCATGGACTCCTGGAAACAGTGGAACCTGATCTGCCTCTCTCAGCTGTCTGTAGAGGATTCTGAAGATGTTTGGATATTCGTCGTTTTGATGTCGGGATTCCTGCAGTTTGGCCTGAGCGGTTACCTGGCTTACCGGAAAATTAACGAGCTTTCGAGGAATATTGGCTCAATCCCGGAGCTCAGGGATGGAATGCACCGCGCTGTGAACTCACAAACTCATATAATCGTCGAGATGAGTCGTAAGCTTGGAACTTTGGCTGAGATTCAGGCTCTGGCACAGAAGGTTGATTCGATCAAGGAGAGAGTTGACGGATCAGCACGGATCGGAATAGATTGATAACGCCATTATTGGACCTGGATGGGTTGGAGATCAACAGAACTTTAAGACAGAGAGAAAATTATCTCTGTCTTTACCCAAAACAATTCTTATCTGAATCTGGTGCCCTTGAGCCTGTGAGGCTGAAGTAAAAACTCCCCTCAGAAGAAATGTGGAATGATGCCGTCGCTATGGAAACCCTTTCTCCCTATCCCAGCCTGGGCGGGACTGTGACCGATGAAGGCCGTGGAACCGTATCTAGGAGTCAATGTGCTCTCTAACCCATTATCTCCCTCCCCCGTCCAAACGGAGGTGATGAGCGCTGCTCTTGCAGCTGCACTCTCTGAAGTGAGGCGAGTCCCAACCCTACCTCCCCACCTAGTGAACACTTATGTTGTGTATCGTCTCAAGTCTGTGTGCATATCTGTCTGAGGTGTTTTTTTGCATAGCAAAGCTACCCTCTCTGTCGGGGGTAACTCTGAAGTGTCTTTTTTTCCATCCCCCTGACTATCCTCACATAAACCCTCTTGATCTGAAACGGTAGCGCGACTCGTGTTGTGAATGACCACAGTCACCCAATTCTTGTCATGTGCATGTATGTATGTCTGATCTTGGAATTGCGTGTACTGAAACAACTGAATTTTCCTCTGGGATTAATAAAGTATTTTTTAATTGAATTACAGCAGAAATATTATGGGATTCCAGATGGAAGGGTAACCGCTACAGTTAGCTAGCTCTGCAGCTAATGTCCACAGCAAATAATCATAGGGTTCTGTTTTATCCCCAGCTGATGGTCATGTGAAGGCGTATAACGGGATCCCCGGAGTCTAGACGTCAGTCTGAATCCAACCTGTTAATTTAAAATGCATTAAAATAATAAATGTATGTTTACTGCGTTCAAAGTACATTTTTATACATTTTCAAGACTTTTTTTTACAACCTTCTGTAACATTAATGCTTTATTGCATCTGTAGCTATTAAACACTTATGTTTTTTGATTCAAACAGAAATAAATATACATTGCATTTAAAACTTTAACCAAAGGGAAATTATATTCTAATCTGCCAAAGTAAATGATTAAAGACTATAAATGATCAACGATCCGCACTTGTATAGCGCCTCTCAGAGTAAGGACTCCAAAGCGCTTTACACTACAGTGTATCATTCATCCATTCACACACACATTCACACACTGATGGTGATGAGCTATGATGTAGCCACAGCTGCCCTGGGGTGCACTGACAGAGGCGAGACTGCCGAGCACAGGCGCCACCGGTCCCTCCGACCACCACCAGCAGGCAAGGTGGGTTAAGTGTCTTGCCCAAGGACACAACAGCAGAATTCTCTGTCCAGAGCCGGGATGGAACCTGCAACCTTCCGATTACCGGACAATCCGCTCAACCTGTTGAGCTAATGCTCATGGCATCCTTCATGTCAAGTCAAGCTGTTAAGAATACACAAATATACCCATTTTTGCTGGTAATGTTTTGCTTTGCTCCAGTTCCCTAGAAATAATCAGAATGTTATGTCATTGATAGCCCGTCTGTAGTTGGATCGTACCTAAAATGACGTGGTATGGAACCCAAAGCAAACAGCTGGTTTCAAAGAAGAAAAAATATTCAATACATAGTCAACGTGAATCTATTTTTGACAGATTAACATATTTTAAAGCAAAAGGCTTTACAAAATCAATGAATTAATATTTGAAGCTACAATAGTAAATATGGAAAACAAATTAGCTTAAAACATGTTTTTCCAACACATTCTCACACCCAAGGCGTCAAAATATGATGCGTGTGACCAAGCCTCAATATATGACGATTCGGGATGCCCCAGTGGATCAAGAGACGACGATCAGGGACACGCTGGGCCACGTGGCTCTGCTGGCATCACTGTTTGACGCGCACGGTCACACGGACATTATTCGACTACTTAACCTTCCCCTCACCCAAATCCTATCCTTAAGGTCCATAAACTGTGACCTTAAGGTTAAGATTGGGGTGAGGGGAAGGTTAAGTAGTTCACAAGTAGTTCTAATGTCCATCTCACCACCGGCGTCAGATATCGACGCTCTGGGACGCTGCGTCAGCTGTTTGTCCCTTATCGTCTTCTCCTGACGTGCTGGGGCGTCCCGAATCGTCATATATTGAGGCTTGGTCACACGCGTCATATTTTGACGCCTTGGGTGCGAGAATGTGTTGGTTTTTCTTGCCTCCTAACAACATTCTAACATTGCATAGCTATAAATTTATTGTGGAGATTAATAAATAAATAAATAAATAAAGTGGTTCTCTTGCATTTGTCTAGAAACCTCCACCAATAACACATTTCAGACCAAAAGCAACTATCGGACCATCCGATTGCCAGTCTCACCAAACTTCCACACTTCTTCCACTCATCACACACTTACGTGTTTAGCAACAGAACACCACTGGTGTGAGAAGTTCTCTTAAACTGAACTTAAAGGGATATTAGAATCAGAAGGCTTGAGGTAAAGTTAGGATACAGAACATGGTGTAGAAACATCTCTGCAGCTTGGTGAAGGCTGACTTACTCATTCTGGGTTTGTGCAACAGATAAGATGATTGTTCATGATATTCCCAAAGAAACCCACTTGAACCCTTCCACTGTCCTAACGGGTGTGACCCCACGAGGAAAGTTGACCATTGAGCAGGGTTGATGGTTTATCCCTTGGGTCCATGTGGCAGGGGTGAGGAGTGAGCACCACCTCACCCCTGACACGTGGACCTCAAGGGATAAACCATCAATCCTGCTCAATGGTCAGCTTTCCTCGCGGGGTCACCCATAAAGACAGTGGGAGGGTTAAAAGTCCTGAACTGTCTCTTTAGTGTCTTGGTTTACATTGGATGTGACGTTTACTTGACATTATTTAACTCTGTTTCAGAGCCTCACGGTCCGTCTTTCACCATCGGTAAGGCCATCTGGCTGTTGTGGGGTCTGGTGTTTAACAACTCCGTACCCGTTCAGAACCCTAAAGGCACCACCAGTAAAATCATGGTGTCGGTGTGGGCCTTCTTTGCTGTCATCTTCCTGGCCTCCTACACTGCCAACCTGGCTGCTTTCATGATCCAGGAGGAATACGTGGACCAGGTCACGGGTCTGTCTGACAAAAAGGTAAGGTGGAAGCATTCGCCTATGCTTAAGAAAGGTAACTCAGTAGATTACCTTCCCCCGTTGTTTCTGTTCTCTTTTTGTTGTGATTAGTTCCAAAGCCCCAACGATTTCTCACCTCCGTTTCGGTTTGGTACGGTCCCCAATGGGAGCACCGAGAGAAACATCAGGAACAACTATCCAGAAATGCACTCCTACATGACAAAGTTTCATCAAAGGAACGTCACCGACGCTCTGCAGAGTCTGAAGGCTGGGTAAGGACAGACCTTCACACAAACTGGCACATTTAGTGTTACTTTAGAGAACACTTTAAAACCAATGAAAAAGCTTTTTTCTGTCAAAACGAGGAACCTGAGAGCGCATTACCGACTTCCACTTTGGGAAATGAAATCCTGAGACCATGTAGGCAATTTCAAGTCCATGCACAGCTCTGTTGTATTGAGAACTCTGAGTTCAAGTGGTTGGAGGACTCAAAGAAATTCAATTCCACACATATAAGGAGGTTGATGTTGAATCTTCTCTGTTGGTTTGCGGTGTTTGCCTGGCCACGACCCATTGAATAACCTCAGTTGTGGGTTGAATCTTTGGTTGTCTTTCAAGCTCCCTGCACACACCTGCACAGCATAGGACTAATCAGAGCAACAAACAACGTGACGCATTCATCGCTATCGACATCAGACAACGGGGCAGTCCATCATACTTTGTGGAAGAAGAAGCAAATCTGCCCTTTTTCAAAATAAATGACTTAAGTTCCTCTTTCTGCTAGTGCATGTGTCAAAGAAAAGCTCAAGCCTCAATTGTCCAAAGTTGATGCCAAAGACGTTTCAAACAAGCGCTGTTCCTGAGCCGATGCCATCTTCGTAGTTTTTCTCTGTCACTACTCTGGCACTAAGCCCGCCCAACAAATGTAGAGTGAGACAAAAAGCAGTGGACCTCCAGTGGTAGACCTGCTGAGGCTACAGTGGAACGCATCTAGACCGACCAGCGGAGCCAAATCTTTTGCTGTGGTTTGTCTAGATTTCTAGGCTATTCTAGTGTGGTACGCTGCTTCTATTTTAGTTTTCTGTGGTGCAGCTTTGTTACCTCACAGCAAGAGGGTTGCAGGTTAGAATCCTGGCATCAGCCTTTATGCGTAGAGTTGGGAGCTTCTCCCCATGCATGTGTAGGTTTTCTGCAGGAACTCTAGTTTCGTCCTGCAGACCTAAAGCATGCTGTAATGGTTAACTCTAATGTCCAAGGTTTTTTCTTAAATAGGGGGATTTGAGAGAAAACCTTTAGACTCTCAAGTCCTACAACACTGGCAGACATATTGGCAGAAAAAAAAGATAAATACCAGTATTTTGATAGAAAAGCTGTAGAAAGAGAGGTCAAAGGATTCTAAGTCAAAGGACACTAGCCTAGAATCTAGACCATCTTTTGCCGAAGCAAAATAATTTTTCTTTGCATGTCGTTAGGGTTAGGGTTAGGGTAAGGGTTAGGGTTAGGGTTAGCTACGCTCCATTGGAACCTTCACAGCCTCAACCAGTGTCATGATTGGTCAATCACAGTGTCTTCTTCCACGATGTATGACAGACTGCCCCACTGACTGACTGACAGCGGTCGGTTTGTTTGGTGGGCCAATCACAGCACACTGAAAAACAAATATAGCAACGGCTCAACTTAAATGGTTTTGGCATTACGTTTGGACAATTTAGACTCAGGCTTTTCTTTGAGTCAAGAGCAGATTGACTTCATTTTAAAAAAGGACATACTGGCGTCTTCTTTGATGGAGTATGGCGGACTGCCTTGTACCGACACACATTGTGGTCACATTATTTGTTATCCAATAGCATGTGGGGACAGTTTGAAAGTCAGCTGTAGATCCTGCCCCACAGCTGAGAGCCGTCAATGGACCGTGGCCAGACTATATAGTCACATTTATAGGATGGCCTGCCAGGCTAAAAGTACACTGCTGTGCTGCTTGGTCTGGTACATTTATTGTCTCGGTGCACTCATATGTTCAGGCAGGCACCAAATACAAATCAGTTCTAAGTCCTGCCTTTATCTCTTACTTTGTGTGAGCACGTAGCAGCTAAATAACCCCAGTAATACTTCCACTCCCCCTCCTCGGTTCTCACCCGTCTGCATGCCAGCTCCGGCCTTTGGCAAACCGAGTGGAAGTCTATTATTCTTATCAGTGGCTTAGTGTTATTTAGCAGGTTAATTGGAATGTTGTAGCTGTGGTGCCTGACTCCTAAGTGCTAATTATTTGTAACCCATCTTTCTCCCTCCTCCGCCTCTCCCTCTCTTCTATTCTTCTTTTAGGAAATTAGATGCCTTCATTTACGATGCAGCTGTTCTGAACTACATGGCCGGCAGGGACGAGGGTTGTAAGCTGGTGACCATTGGCAGCGGCTACATCTTTGCCACCACCGGCTACGGTATAGCCATCCAGAAGGAGTCGCTCTGGAAGAGACATGTGGACCTGGCCATCCTGCAGCTTTTTGGAGATGGTGAGGAAGGTTTTATTCAAATCCAAGCTCACCCCCTCACGCTTACAGCTGAACTGGAGCGATTAGCTGTTGGATTGCATGAAAGTGCATCGGATATGACAGAAGTTTATCAACAGCGGCTGGTAAACTTGAAAAAGAACTTGAAGAGTTAAAGAGGGACTGCACACCATCAGAAAACTTAACTCCACCCCTAGCCAAGATTTGAAACATGCTATGAAAGTGGGCGCTGCCAGGAGGCAGGGCTTGGCATGGCCAAGTGTGGGGAATTTCCATCCTGGGAGGGAGGGGGAGCGGGGGGAGACTGTACCGATGAGGTGAAATTGTTCCAGCCCCAGTCGATCACAAATTCAAAATGCAGTTGCCACAGTTCAACCCACAGGGGGCAGCACTGAGACGTTTTTAGACCTAGATTCTAGATTTAATCAAGTTTACACAAACATGTCAAAAAATGCACAGAAACAGAAAGAATGCATTTGTAAAGACCCAATTATACAGTTTCTAAGCAAAAAATGTTATTTTGGGGTTTAGTTACTCTTTAAGCTGGTGATCAACTGTTTACTCCAAAACTTTGTCAATAAACTCAGTTCATCTGACCTTCATATTGCTCCTTTTAATCTCATTTTTTAAATGTAGACACATTATCACCAGGCATGTAGCCATGCATGCATTGATATTTGGATGTAACTCTACTGTAATTGTGTTTCACGTTAGCCAGCCACACATGCGGTTGTGTCCTACTAGTTCAGAGCCTGCATCCTTCAAAGACCGGGTTACTCAGTCTACCGAGGCTGTACCAGATACTGGTTCCTTCATTGACCAGGAAGAGTTGTCAAATTGGATGGTCTTGCCTACATATTCATTCTCATCTGCATGAAAATATTAGCAAAAAGTTGTCATGACAACCCTACCATGTAGACCCCTTGATGACCTCATGCCCCAGCCTCTGTCGTCACTAGAGGTGTGTCGATTCACCATTTAATCAACAAAGCATGATGCTGATGGCATGATGAGTCTATAGTTCAAGCATGCAGTTGACCAGACAGTTGTGCTTGGGTCTCCCATCATGGATGGACTCCAATATGCTGCAACCACAATGATGAACATTACTGCAGGAGTTGCGCTCATGCTCAGGACAACCGTCAACCATCACTCTCTGTTGCCACGTGGAACGAAGAGCTCAGCATGTTCTTCATATTCCTCTGAAGATCTGTCCTTGCATCAGACAGGGCATCCACGGGTCCTTAAAAAGTCTTAAATTAGCTTTTCCAAATTTAAGGCCTTAAAAATCCTTACAAATGACATTTCTAGTTATTGTTCAACATTTTTTGTGTACGATGTTGACATAAGCGGAACCGTACAGTTGGTTTTCTTTGGTGTGTTCTTGCCTTGTTGAGTTTCAAATTCCATTCTTTTTAAAACACAGAAAAGGTTTATTTACCTGCAACGTTTCGTTTGCGGCTGCAAACATCATCAGGCTGACGCCGATGGTGGCGTCACTTATTTCGTTTATCCGCGGGCAGCAGTTACAGTTGGTTGTGAAAGGGGGCTATTTTTAGATGAACACATTAGCTGGTTAAGCTAGTGGGAGCTTGCGCCATGGGGAAGTGCAAATTTAATGGTAACTGGATGGCTAATCCCACGTTCGCGACGTGGTTAGCTCCGGTTCCAGGCAATAGCTGGAAATTATAGCTTAAATTTAACTTAAAAAATAGCTTAAATTTGGTCTCAGTGGCCTTAAAAAGGTGTTAAAAAAAGTCTTAAATTTGGCTCCCTTAAACCTGCAGATAATGACGGGTTTAGCTGAGTGTCTCTCCAGATCAAAGCTTCCTGTTACAAATACCGTTAGCCTCACTGCGAGGAACCTCTGCCTCTGGCGTTGTCCTATCCCTCCAGTGTTTGTGCTTAAGAAACCTTCTTTATGAGCACCATGATTCATCATAAACAGAAAACCGTCACCATAACATTTCAATATATCCTGTTTATCAGATACGCCGCCTAACTCGTTTAAGACCGATCAAAAAGAGGAAGCACTTGGAATCAGTCATCCACGCTTTCGTCACCTCTCACTTGGACTACGCTAATACACTATTAGTTGGAACTCCTGTCTCTGCCCTGAACCGGTTGCAGGTTGTCCAAAATGCAGCTGCTAGTTTTTTAACAAGCACAAGTCGACATAGTCATATTACACCAGTCCTGGAACGTCTTCACTGGCTCCCCATCAAATTTCGTGTGCGTTTTAAGATAATGATGTTTGTTTTTAAAGCCCTACACGACCTAGCTCCTCCTTATCTGTCCGATCTGCTGACTCCCTATGTACCTACTCGTATGTTGAGGTCAGCTGACCGTCTACTGCTTTGCACTCCCCGGATGTCCTACAAATCACGAGGTGATCGTGCGTTTGTCCACGCTGCCCCCATGCTCTGGAACTCACTGCCCATTACAGTTAGGCTGGCATCCTCTCTGCCTGTTTTTAAATCTCGTTTAAAAACCAACTTTTATCACTTGGTTTTAAGACCGTGATTCGTGTTATGGTATTATGGTTTTATAGTTTTTATTGTTGTGTTTTATCTTCTTATTGTTTTTTTCTTTTTTGTTTTAATTGATCCTGCCTGTTCGGCACTTTGGTCAGCTCTGACGCCGTGTCTTAAATTGTGCTATAGAAATAAAGTTGGTAGGGTAAGAAGGGAGTTGTAACAGTAATTTGGTGTGTGTGTGTGTGCGTGTGTGTGTGTGTGTGTGTGTGTGGGTGTGTGTGTGTGTGTGTGTGTGTGTGTGTGTGTGTGTGTGTGTGTGTGTGTGTGTGTGTGGTAAGCTAACTTATTTGGATGTAGTTCAACTTATTGTGAGCATCCTGAAACAAGGGCCCTCTGGGGGCCCAGTATATTGTGTCCCAGTTAGGGATGCCAGTTTAGCTCCCGGTGAATTTGTGCGTTGTTAGGGTTAGCAAGTGTGTGTGTGTGTGTGTGTGTGTGTGTGTGTGTGTGTGTGTGTGTGTGTGTGTGTGTGTGTGTGTGTGTGTGTGTGTGTGTGTGTGTGTGTGATTATTCATGACCCTGATTTATTGTTATCAGCCTACATATGATCTACTATTGTTTTTTCACATATTGATCATCAGTCTGTGCAAAGACCTCATTTGTACGTCCTGCAGACGTGGTCTGGACCGACAGACGTAACATCGACATGATCTGCACGCCCATGTGACGATGACTGTTTGCAGGGTAGTTTTGCATCATTTTAAACTTTGAGACTCACTCATGTGTCCATTTGCACATGAATGTGGGGCAGCTCGCTGCAACGGGGCATTAATTCAGGAACCAGGCGGCCCTATCTCACCCCTCTCAGGATTTCAATGTCACTTTGCAACGCCTCGCCATCCACTCCGCTCCCCGTGGCCTAGATAGAGAACCGACTCACGTGGAAAGTCCAGAAGATTCTGGGAGTTTGATGCAAGTCTGAGCAGCAAATATATCATCGGTGTCCTGAAAATCAAAAGCAAAAGTTTATAATTACGATTCTCTGTGAAATAAAACGTTTTCATGCTGGTTAGTTGGGTCTTGGAGATCAATAGAGAGATGATCCTTTTAAAGGTTTTGGGTTTTTTTCAGAAAGAGGACAATTTTCCGTCAACTGATCAATTGTTCTTGTGATTTAATGTAATAGTACCTCAAAGGTGTGGTTCACTCGTTTGATCAGTGGTCTCTAATAGGAATGAATGCCTTCTAAGTCGTACTTTGGGGGAAAAAAGACTCCAGCGCACAGATTTCAGGAACTAAGTGAGCCAGATCAGAGGACAGCTTCAGACGACAGGATCTGGAGTCTTATTTCCTGATATTCAAACATCTCTGATTGGCTAACAGCAACACGACTCTACCACTGACTCTGTTTGCTCTGCAACGTTGATGTTTTATGTCCACAAATAACACAAGCCTGGAGGAGTTCTGCCATGTGGTGGAGTTGCTAATGCTAACAGTTAGCGTCTGCTAGCTGAGGCGTGCTCTGCTGTTTCCTGGACGCTAAACCAACAACAGCCTCCCCCGTCGTGAGTCCAGATGGATGAGTCCATGAATGTTAAGTGACAGTGTGACGTAGATCTGTCGGGCTTTTCTCATCCTAGAGTTTCTGTTTTCTATCAGAAGCTAATGCAGGAGATCGGTGTAGGAGACTATTTTCATGTTCAGCCTGCATAAAATACTCAGACTGACCCAATAGAATCAGAAATAATCATTTAATTATGGTTTATCACAGCTTTAAAGAGCAAGTCACCCCCCTACCAGAGTCTTTCCTGTTTGAACCATTAACCTTCTAACCTTCAGGTCAGTCCTTCTAGAACATGTTTTAGTCCCCATGTGCTTTTGACTCACTCACCAATTTTAACTAAATAAAAAAGTTGAGAGATGTTTAAAGAAATGTTTGTTGAAGATGTTTTTTATGTTGTAAACTTTAAAGAGTTATAAGATTGAACTTTTTTAAACAAGTGCCAGTTTTTTTTCTCATCCTGAAAAAATGGAGTATATAAACTTTTATCAACAGCAGCTTTTTACAGTGTAGTAACCGGATAATCTTGCATTTGGATCTTATTGAGGATGAGTCGAGGCTCCTCTCGCTACAGAACACAATAGTATTCTCCTTGGCTCCACTGTTGTTTGGTAAATTCACCACAAACACAAATCCCAGAGCGGCTCCGTTATCTTCTGGAGTCTCTTGGCTGATGTTTCCTCCTCCTGAGGCTGTCTGCTGCTGACCGTCTTGTTGCTGCTCAGAGGCCATCCAGCGCTGACGTGCTGCGACTGTGGCTGAATGTGTGATTAACTAACCGACGCTCGTCGTGCCCGTGCGTGTCAGCTTTGATAGAGAGCAGCTCGTGATGAAAGAGGGCGACACACAAATGAGACCAGAACCTGTTGGACTGGTGTTGTAACCGCCACCTGAGGGCGGTCATTAGAAAAGATTCAAATAGGTTTGATGAGATGAACGCGTGACCTTTATAATCACCTTGACCCCTTATTCCCCCATCCTTCCTCCTCTTTTCCTCTGTTGCATCACTCTTCCATCCCTCGTGCCCTTCAACACCCAACCCGTTGTTACGTCATCCCCCCCCCCCTCCTCTTCCACTTCATAACTTTAAATTCTGATTGAAATGAAAACATTCTCCACATGTCGTCATGATGTCTCCAACCATCCTCCTCATGTGCCTACATCTTCACTCCACTGACTCCTCGACATGCCCCATCTCCCAACCTCATCCATCTCACCCCGCCATCTGTTGCTTCCCTCATCTTCCTCCCCCCCTCTCTTCCCCGTGTCCTCCTTTTCAGGGGAGATGGAGGAGCTGGAGTCCCTGTGGTTGACAGGAATCTGCCACCACGAGAAGAACGAGGTGATGTCCAGCCAGCTGGACGTGGACAACATGGCTGGTGTCTTCTACATGCTGGGAGCTGCCATGGCCCTTTCGCTCATCACCTTCGTCTGCGAGCACTGGTTCTACTGGCAGCTGCGCTTCTGCTTCATGGGCGTCTGCTCCGGCCAACCCGGCTTCGTCTTCACAGTCAGCAGGGTGAGGACGGGTGTGGGGAAGGGGACGGTGGTTACAGATGAGGACAGCACTAAGACATTCTGTCTTATACTTCCATTCCAGCGTAACTATACACTGTAAAAAATATTTTCGTTTTGTCCAGCTTAGTCTAACTTTAGAAGAAGTTGTTTTCATCAACAACCTCAGTTTAGAAAAATGGAGATTAGTTCTGATTGAAAATATATGCTAACAGTTAGCTTAGGGATGGACAATATATCGTAATCAATATCGGTATCGGCCGGTGTTAGTAATGTTTTTAACATATCGGTATCGGTTTGATAAATAAAACCGGGCCGATATTAACAACCGTTTTTTTTCCATCTCGTCTCCATTTGTTTGCCTGTTTCAGAGGGTGAGGTGGGTGATGTGTCATTTAGTCATGTGAACACTGAATGTAATCATCTCAGAACCGTAAATGTGTGTGTTGTGTGTATATAATTATAAAAATTCAGCTTTAGTAATTTAATTCTTTACTACATCTGCTGATTCTAAAAGCATTAATGTCAGTAAATTGGTATCGGCAAATATCGGTTAGCGGCCATAACAGTGATTTTAATATCGGTATCGGCCCCAAAATGTCATGTCGGCGCATCACTAAATTAGCTACAAATTGTACTCAATAGGGGTTGTACGAACTAGTCGACTAGTCGACTTCACGGCTCTGTAGTGACTTTTTATGCCTGTCATCAACTAGTCGCTGTCACGTGATAATGACTGACAAGATGCAGTCCTCGGAAAAGACAGGAGGTGATGAGCCCCTGCGCGTCTGGATCGAGGCGGAGGCAACGCGCTGTGCGGTACTGACACCGGCGGTAAAACGGACATTTAACCAAACTGTGACCTTTTCCCTCTTGCAATTTAACCTTCCCCTCACCCCCATCCTAATCTTAACCAGTTTGTGCATGCAAAGCTCTGATCGTTGACGCGCGCTCCAGACATTGCGTCCTGAGCACCGCCAAATCAGGTGTCACCACCTCAAAAGCAAATTAAACACACGATCGTTCATGTCGGCTCATTTCCTTTCATGTTTTCTGTCTGTTATTTGTGCCTGATGCATTTCGCTGCTGCGGAGCGAGGCTCTTCACCTGTTTTGTTCTCCGGTGACGCGCCCCCAAGATTCCACTATCTCCACTCCGCTCCGCTCCGGCATGAACTCCGCAGCAAAAACGGTCCCGTTGTAGTCGGCCGGCGAGCAGCGGCACTCCGCTGTTTTTGCGGTCGGTAGATCTTTTAGAACTGCAGTTCAAAGGTAACTCATAAGGTGAATATATATGAAGGCAGGTAGCAGTTTTTCTTTAGGATTGAGAGGAGATGCAGGAAGATAATAAACAGGCAGGACAGAAAAATAGACAAATAAAAACAAGTTTGTTTTTGTACCTGGTGGTTGCAACAAACAGACACCATTGAAGGTAATCAGAAGTGAGGAACAGAAAATGAAATAATTATTTTAATGTTTAGAGCAGCAGGAAAGGCTGCAGGCGCATCAGTGAGTTTGCGGCTGCTGCGCAGGGGGAGGGGGGAGAGGGCTGGAGTAGGATGCAGAAACTACCGTTGTTAAAAGAGATGTGTTAACTTAGAAAATGTGGGCGCAATTTTAATTGTCAAAAACTCCAGCGAACCTACCGACCGCCCCTCCCCTCCCCCCCCCCCCCCCCCCCCCCCTTCCGGCGTATGACGTCATCAACGACTAGTCGAAGTCGACTCGACTTTCATTACTTGACTGTCGACTTTAAAAAAAATAAAGTCGTGCAGGCCCTAGTACTCAAACAACTCAAGTATTCATGGCGGTTTAGGCCGATGCTGTTTAAAAGCCTTTATTTTGCAATGATTTTGTAGATATTTTTAACCAGAATGCTACAAACAGCTAACTTTGCTGCTACTTTCCACTAATAAGTTTTATGTAAAAAAAATTAAACATCCAACTTGAAATTCATGGTGACTTTTCAGATTAAAGATGCTTTTAGGATCCAGTCAACCATCTTTTTATCCGTGTATTGTACTAGCTGTTAGCTCGTCAGTCTGGTCAGAACCAATTTCTCTGGCTCCAAACTGAGGTTGTTTAAACAAATGTCACCACTACATACAACAGGCAGAAAAACGCATTTCAGAATGAAAGAAAAAAACATTTTAAAAGACCAAACACCAGTTAGCAACTGACAAACTCTTCAAATGTCCGTGGGTTGTTTCTGGAGTTTCTGGAAAACAAAGAAAAATATTCAACAGGATAAAGATGTTTAAATTTAATCTAATGATCGTGCTTACAAATAATTCTAAAACTTTTGCTCGTAAGCGGGACGTTGGATCCAAAGTGATATGTGCACCCCCTAGTGGCTGGTTCCAATACTAACTTTTCCATGCTCTCTTTTGGCACATTTTCCTATAAAAAAATAATTAAAAAGACTTTTTTGTGTTGATTTACGTTGTTCTTTTTTGCTGCTGTGTGTTAAAATAAAAAATCTTTCTAATAAAGTTAACTGCTTTTGAACTGTAGTTATAAAGTATATCATGGTGAGAGCTGTAAAAGGGATGCTTTGGTTTCACTTTTATAAAACAGCAAAAGCTGGAGATTCTTGGCGTGGTCCAAACAACTGCCCACATATAGAGCCACCTTTAATCGTCTTTTCTTCTAATATTGTCGACTCTTTAGGGTTTTTCTAATATCAAAGCTAAAAATGTCTTCTTCCCAGTCGAGTTCTTTCTGCCAAAGATTACTGGGATAAATGAGCTCGCTCCTTTTGCTTTGACTCTCGGGCCTTTCGCGTGGCCATAAGGTAAACATTTACAAAATACTGAGCTAAAATCAATATTATGCTCAACAAAAAATCTGCCACAGAACCGGCGAGGGTGGATTACTGGACCTCGAGAGACCAAAGTCACCTGAAGGTGTTTGATTTGCATTCCAATTGTTTTGACGTGGTCGTGGTGTAATTCACTGCGCACCTCTGAAGGTGAACTGCTGCGGGCTGAACAACGTGGCTAATTTACAGCAGACAGGCGACGCACAGCTGACCTCTCGTTCCTCTGCTGAAACTGACAACACCTAAATAATTATTTGGAATTAGGTCTAGTTTTTGCGTCTCGATGCTGAATGCCAGCTGACTCCTCGTTTGCAGAGACGAGCGGCTTGGCCGTGCTTTCTCTTACTGCGTTAACTCGTTAGGATCTGAGCGGGGACTGCGACCAAGACTAATTCAGCTTTGTGCAACAGTCAGTGATTGCTCTCGCGGACAGAAATGACATCTGTCTTTGCTGCAGCGTGACAGAATGAATGAGCACCATGTGTCCACAAATGCAGCCAGACGATTCTGGGGAAATACTCATAGAAGGAGCTCATTTGCATATTCAGCACAGAGCCGGGCGAATGTTAACCGTCCTCAAAAGGAATTGCTGATCGTCTTTCCGAAGCATCACACCCACCTAATTTTTTTCTTTCCAGCTCAGCTCCTCAGACCGACATTCTTATATTTCTTAGCGTAATCCAATTAAGCTCATTGTTATTGCTGCAATTAACATTTAAGCCCTGTGGTGTGATAACTGACATCCGTCACTGTCGGCGTGACTCTTGTGGCCGTTGGATTTGCTCCTTCAGCAGTGCTGTGAGCTTCTCTCTGCTGGTTACCTGATCCTCCACGTCCCACCTGAAACACCCAAACGTAATATTTAAACTGATTTAAAAAGCCTCTAACGACTTCAGCGCTGTAAGTGTACCGGAGGTTTAATCGTCTGTAAATTCATTTGCCTTTTAGCACCATAAACCCACGCTTCACTTGTACGTTAAATTATAAGTTATAGAATGTGAATGAGCAGCCAGCGTGTTTCCTAAATGATCTGTTATTTGTGCACTTGAAGAAGTTTAAAAGTTATTCTTCGATCCACAGTTTTTGTCCCCGTAATGATTCAAAGAGCAGACATGTGACAGGTTAAGTAGCAAGTGGGGAATAATCAGCAGAAGAAATTATGACAAAAGTGTAAAACACAGGTGGTGAAGGCGAGCCAGAGAAGAAGCATGGACCCTGTCGGACTGGAAAAACATTCTTTAACAGGCTGGGAAATTAAAAGAATGTTTATTTATTAGAGATGTAAGAAAATAAATATAAATAAAAAAATACCGATCCACTGAAACACCACAGTATTTTGTGTTATGATACTAAATCGACATTTAAAAGTGTATTTTATTGAGAATTTACTAAGGGGACTGCCTAAAGTGAGGTCAACACGGAAGTGACAAAAACTGCAATTTCCCCCTAATCCACTAGGGGCTGGATCTGGAAAGTTCCCATTGACTCCCCGGTGTCCACGTCCAAAAATGGTCGCGGTAGGACGGCCCGAATTTCTAAAAAAATAAATAACATAACATGTCTTAAAAATCAATTCAGATACATTTGTACATGCCTACAGTTATATGTATAACTGCTATTTTGACAATTAGTTACGTGCAGTTCAACATAGCATCCCAGCAAATATTGTTCCGACGGCAACGTCCTGTCCACGGCCAAAAGTAGTCACAGTAGGACGCTACAAAACATTGGTTCGGCGGCGACGTGGTGTCCACGGTAAAAAATGGTTGCGGTAGGACGGTTCAAATTTAAGAAAATATTTAACATAACATTTCCTAAAAATCCACTCAGATTTGTAGTCACATGTATAATTGTTACGTGTAATTCACGTCCAAAAAAGACGTCTGTTCAACTTTCATTTTGGAACTATTTTTCAACCATGACGAGATGTGTCGGCCCGACGTCTTTTCAGCGTTGATTAAACGTCCGAATGTTTGTTGGGCCGCGTTAAAATGCCAACTTCACAGCAGAAATAAACATGTTTACCGCCAGTAAAAAAAAAAAACGTTATATGTTTAACAGGACAAGTTTGCTGTCATGACAACTCAGAGGGGCATGATTATTTTTGTAACTGGTCTGTTTAGATGCCATTAAAGCTTGAAATCATGAACACTTAGAGGCGTGTCCTTTTGATTGACAGGTAGCAGATGAGCCGTCAGCGCTAGCAAAGGGAAGGCCTCAGTCTCGGTCTCAAGTTAAACATGTTACAGCCTAGAAGGCAGAGCTTAGCAAAGTTTCTTAACCACGGTGTTCTGGCTAAAAGCACCTGCCAACCTCCATTAGCTTTGGATATCTCAGTTAGCTCATAGCCGCATTGGCTCAGAGTTTGTTGGGTATCAATCTGCCCCAACCCTCATAAGCTCACTGTCAGCTCCATTTTTGTACTTTCCGGGAGTAATGAGACGTGTGACACGGCCAGGATGGCGGTGGTGGAAACCGCCCACTGGGGTTAAATTCAGCTCTTCAAGGGCCTATGGGTGATGGTGTGGAGGGTTCGTCCATATTTTCTACAGTCATTGGAATTTACACGCACACGTTTACTGTTGTTCTTTTGAGAGGTGCAATTCAACCTCTGACTGCTAGGTGGCAGCATATTTTACTGCCTTCATTCTGATAGGACGATATCTCGCCATAACACTGGATGTGTCTGGGAAGTGTCTGAAGATTTGATCTGACTTTTACTACACAGCAAATGGTATCGTCTCCCCTGTATTGTGATGCATCGCACCAGATTCTTGCCGATACACCGTATTATCTATAAAAGATGGGAAACAACATTTGTGCTGCAGTGAAACAAGCCAATATACTAATAGAACAAAGGGTCTCGACAGAGCAAAAGAGCAAAAGCAAAAGAGTTTTATCAGCAGATGAGATTTGACAGAAGACCATCAAGTGACCTTTGACCCCCTGGTTTCATATCCCTTTATGTCCACAGCTCTCTACAAACATCCTGAGAAACAGAGTTAAATCCTTCCTGGGAATTCATCTTGATCCTCTTCCGTCCTCATCTGTCACGCCCGCTTCGCTCTCCTCAGAACATCCGTTTTTATCAGAATATTGTATCGTACATCACTGAATGTAAATGGAGCCGTTTATCACTCTGTCACCAGACAGCTGAGCTAGACGCGACCGCTCGTCTCTGGTAAGAGCCGTGTGCTGGCCTGTAGCACAGAGGGCTCGGGAAACTGGGCGTTTAATAACTGCCAGAGGAAACGGCTCAGGTGAATTCTGACCACATTGATTCAAAGAATTGACAAGTAGATCTGTGGGTGATTTTTATAGCCTCCCTCTGGCTGCACAGTCTCTTGATTCCTATTAAATGTTCACTTATTCCGGTAAATGTACACCAGCTTTAGGCTGAAGTCTATAACTTTCTTTTATAATTAATTTCCTGTGTTTCTGAATTCAGTTGCTGCTCCTCGTGTTTTTATTCCTGTCATTAATTTTCTGACATTTTAATTTGCCTATATAAATAAAGTAATGCATTTGCATTATCATGCAAACAAAATTCCTGAATTATGGGATTTGAAAAGCACCAATGAGGAGGTAGTTTCCTTTGATCCTTCAAAAGAAAAGTCTCAAAAAAACACTTTATAGCAGCTTTCCGGAGTTTTCAGAAATTTGTCAGAAATCCGTAAAAGTGATTATCTTATCATGTACTGTGATATAATATAAGCAATATGTCTTCTTTTTTTTTTTTTGCTAAGCACGCCCCCTGCCCGGCAGAGCTCCGTGCAATAGGAAACTGAGCGCCGACCAGAACTAACCAATAGCGTTAGACTGCCGCTTAGACGCTTCAAATTTAAGGAAGTACCTCGGCTGATGCAGAGTTGATGAACTTTTCACGGACAAGAAAGTCTCTAAAATAAAAATATATGAAAACACAACATGACATGAGAATAATACTCGTAAATCAATGTGTTTTAGCTCCGTTTGTTGGCTACAAAAGCACATTTATAAACAGAAACGTGAAGTTGCCGTCTTAAAAAAACAAAGGATTAACGGTTGTGTGTGATACGCTTGTCAGCCACTAGGTGGTGCCATTAGATAAGCGAAATACTCCGGAAAGAAGCTTTAAAGAAAGCAGATTATTATTGTTCTCCAGTGAAATAGATGCTATTGGGAGCCTAAGTCACGCCCATCTACTTCCGGACCACGGGTCCCCGGAAGAACGAAAAAAAGAATGCAAGCCAACGGGGCTAAAAACACTATTTTCTAATTCCGCTTGTTTTGTGACATGGATTTCACATATGATGTCCGTTACTTTTAAAGACACATTTTGATACCAAGAAAGCTCTTATTTTTGAACAGCAGAAAACGATATTTTAGATTTTGTGTGAAAATAAGTCCAGGACTAAAAATGCGCTTCACGAAAGTGACGTCATCAAACCAGACACGGAGAAAACTGAGGGAAAAGGGCTGTAAGTTCAGCGAACTTCCCACAGGAGGAAAGAACCACCATAAATGTGGTAATGTGGTAAGTAGCAGCTACGCTAGAGGAGAGATTATGTGGTGACGTCACATATGTTAAGTGCCGATTTCTGGTATGTAATCATGCTAATTACGAACTTTTGCAAGCGGACAAATATCAAAATATGTGACTGGCGTAGTCTAAACACCCATCAATACTATTCAAATAAATTGCAGTACAACATACGTGTGATCCAGGGTGTAAGGCAAAGCGCGTTAGAAAATAACTCTTTTAGCCCCGTTGACTTGCATTCATTTTTTCGTTCCTCCGGGGACCCATGGGCCAACCGGAAAGGGAGGAGACTTAGGCTCCCAATAGCCTAAAGATTGCGAATAGTTAAAGAGGGACCGCACACCATCAGAAAACGTAACTCCACACCCTAGCCAAGATTTGAAAAATGCTATTATGTGGGCGCTGCCAGGAGGCATGGAGAGGCATGGCCAAGTGTGGGGAATTTCCATCCCTGGAGGGAGGGGGAGTGAGAGGAGACTGTGCCAATGGCGGGAAATTGTTCCAGCCCCAATCGATCACAAATTTAAAATGCAGTAGCCACAGTTCAACCCACAGGGGGCAGCACTAAGACGTTTTTAGACCTAGATTCTAGATTTAATCAGGTTTACACAAACTTGTCAAACAATGCACAGAAACAGAATGATTGCATTTGTAAAGACCCAATTATACAGTTTATAAGCAAAAAAAGTTACTTTGGGGTTTAGTTACTCTTTAAGGTTTTTCAGAACAGCCTTTTTTCAGCTCCAGAGATAAGTTAGTGTGTATTTGCTAAAAGACACTGTTTCTTTAAAAACGCCTTAAATTTAGAGTGGCAGTGTAGTTTCCTGCCACTAGGGGGCAGTGCTTACATACATTTCAGGGTAGTTTTACAGCGCATCTCTATGACTGTTGCTACATTAAAACAACATTATGGCAAATGTTGTTACCCACGGAGCAGAAAGCATACAACCTCTGCATGATTCTGCAGACTTTGATGGTCCTTCAGTTAATTCCACCGAGGGAATGCAATGCCGATTGTAGTTTTCTGGCGATATAGTGTCCGGACCTGCTTGGGGACCTGCCATGACGTCATCATACTACGGCAATACTGCTCAGCCAAAATATATTGCATCTCTTTTTTGATTCTGTTCTTTCACGTATGCTTTGGAAAGAGTTTAGCAGTTTTGTCATTAAATTCATGTTTCTTATTGCCTAAATGTTTTTGAACGTGGTAACGTACCTTCTCTCTCTTTAAAGTGACAATGTGTAGTTTTTACCGTTAATCTCAGGAAATAGCCATTCAAACGTTGCTGAAAATGAACCGTAAAAATTGGGTCTAAAATACATCAGAGCGAGTCTCTGGTCGATGCCATGCCATATTAGACGCGATGTTTCATTTTACGTGAGCCTGCGAGGATAAAACGCATTTACTGATAGAGTACTCATTTCAAAATTGCGCTCCCAGGGATTTTTGACCCTAAAGGCCATCAGTTGGTAAGGTCTTACTCGAACGTAAAAATACTGCTTGTCGCAATGATTTAGGTATGTACTGCCCCCTATCGCCAGGGAAAATACACATTGTCACTTAAAAGGGATAATAGGCCATTTTGCTTGCATTTAGCACCCCCTAGTGTCCGTTTGTAGAAGCAAAACTATCTCAGCGTTTTTACGTATCTACAGGAATGATTCATCACTAAATTAAACAAATCAGCTCTGTTCATGATGTGAAACATGCAGGAAACGTGCTGAAGCCAGACAGCAGCGTCAGTCCCAGCAGACCGGACCGGCACCTGTGATGTTGCAAGTGCGATATTCTGGCCACAGGGGGCGATAGGGGCTGAGTAGCCTTTTATTAACCCTGTAAAGGGTCATTTTAGCACATCCTGGCTCAAGAAAATTATTTAAAACATTTGAAAAAGTTGCAAATTGTCCCTTTAAAGTCAGCTTAGTTCATTTACACAAGCCATCATGGTCTCTGAGATGTGGCTGTTTTAGTTTTTGAAGTTAAAGAATAAACTTTTTTAACAATATTTTGATTTATCATCCCATATGTCTGCATAACAGTAAAAAAATCGGGGTTTATTAAATTCAAAGCTGAGTCTGTCCTTACGCCGGCTTTTAGGCAAACTGTTAATATTTTCACTCAGATCATTGTCAGTGGAGCTAGTGGCAGTGTCTAAAACACATTTAATTACATTGAATGAATGAAATGACAAAGGTATTTAAAGTGGTAGATTTTTTAAGCCTAAACCCCTGAAAGCAACACTTCAAGTTAGCATACAACGGTGCGAGATTAAACGTGTCTGTGTTCCTCCCACACAGGGGATCTACAGCTGTATTCATGGAGTTCAGATTGAGGAGAAGAGCAGCTCTGCGCTGAACTCACCATCAGCCACCATGAACAACACCCATTCCAACATAATGCGCCTCTTACGCACGGCCAAGAACATGGCCTCCCTGTCGGGGGTGAACGGCTCACCGCACAGTGCTCTGGACTTCATCCGCCGTGAATCTTCTGTTTACGACATCTCTGAGCACCGCCGCAGCCTGGCCGGCCACTCGGACTGCAAGGCTCCGTACATGCCCGAAGACAACATGTTTAGTGACTACATCAGTGAGGTGGAGAGGACGTTTGGTAACATTCACCTAAAGGACAGTAATTTGTACCAGGACCACTACCTGCACCACCACGGCTCAACACTAGGGCTCAGCGGCCCTCCTCCCAACAGGCCCCACAGTTTGGACAGTGCTAGTTCTTTGGAGGGTGGCATGTTTGACTGCGATAGCCTTGGAGGAGGGGTGGCGCCAATCTTTACCACCCAGCCCTGTTCAGCGCTGACCCACAGAAACATGAGCAAGTTTGACCTCCTGTCCGGTCAGACTCCTCCATCAGGCCAGAGCTTTAAAGGAGGTTTGCCGGATCTATACGGAAAGTTCTCTTTCAAGGGAGGCGCCTCCAGTTCCACCTACATCCCTGGACCCAGTTACTGTGGAGGGAGAGGAGAGGAAGATGGGAATGTACGTTCAGACGTCTCCGACATTTCCACGCACACGGTAACTTACGGGAACCTGGAGGGTAATGCCAAGAAGCGCAAACAATACCGCGATAGTTTAAAAAAGAGACCAGCCTCTGCAAAGTCCAGACGGGAGCTGGACGAGATTGAGCTGGGCTACAGGAGGAAGCCGTACCACATCAGCCATCACCACTACCACAGCCAGCGCTCTGCCTCCCCGCCGCTGTTACCCTCTGGAAGCAAGAGAGGCGGCGGAGGAGGTGGAGGAGGTAACAACAATGGGAACTCGTATCTTTTCAGAGAAAAGGAGAGTGTGAGGGACTTCTATTTGGACCAGTTTCGTCCCAAAGAGGGTGTCCCTCAGTGGGAGCATGTGGACTTGACAGAGGGCCCAGGAAATAGAGATGGAGCAGTATCAACCTGCACTTCCCTCGTACCGGTGGATGATTTTCTTAAGATCAAACCCAAAAAGTCTGATTCAAAGAGCGCTGGAGGGTCTGGGCTTGCAGGAGGAGAGTGGGAATGCAGAAACTGTCACGCTAGCGGGAGCAAGCAGATGTCCATGCATGGTGGGTATGCTAGTGGTGTGAGCTGTGGGTCCTCCGGAGGCAACAGTCGACCCAGCTCTGCAACTTGCATGCGCTGCGAAGGCTGTAAAAAGACAGGAAACCTGTATGACATCAGCGAGGACAACAACCACTCTTTGGAACAAATGGGGGGAGGGAAAGGAGGAGGAGGAGTGGGAGGAATGGTCACAGGCCCTCAGTCTCAATCTCAGGTCCAGCAGAGGAGGAAAAGCGGAGGATTCGGCAAGCAACTGAGGCGGCAGCATTCCTACGACACATTCGTTGATCTTCAGAAGGAAGAATCGGGTGGGATGGGAAGTTTGATGGGAGGTTTGGGAGGAGGTGGAGGGATGAGTGGGGCAGGTTTGCCAGGAATGCTACCCCCACCCAGGAGTGTAAGCTTGAAGGAGAAAGAACGCTACATGGAGGGCAACAGCCCCTTTGCACACATATTTGAGCGTCACGGGGGCTCGGAGCGAGAAAGGGAAAGGGACAGAGACCCGTTGTTTTATGGAGGCGAGAGCCAGAAAGGACCTGGCTCACAGTTTGGCCTATTCAGAGGGGGCGAAGGCCTCCACCGCCGCTCCATCGGAGAAAGAGACATGAGAGACAGATCTTTGATGGAAGGAGGGGGTGGGGCAGCATTCTCTTTATCCAAATCTCTTTACCCGGACCGGGTGAACCAAAACCCCTTTATACCCACCTTTGGGGACGACCAGTGTCTGATGCATGGAGCCAAACAGTATTATATGACAAAGCAACAACAGCAGCAACAAGTTGCCACAAACAGCCGAAGTGACTTCAGGGGTCAGATGAGTGCGCCATCGTATCTGCCAGCGTCTGTGACGGCCGGGGTGATGACTAGCGCGTCCCCCCGATTCCCAAAAGAGCTCAGCCTGGGTGGGATGAACCATCACGGCTCCATGTTGGGGGTCGGCCCCCCACGTCCCTTCAACGGAAGCAATGGTCATGTGTACGAAAAACTTTCCAGCATTGAATCGGACGTGTGAATGACTATGGGAGGAGGAGGAGAGCAATAGAGACGTTGGGAGATCAGGGCTAATTCTTTAAACACTGTAGACACAAAGTGGCCCAAGTTCACCGTGAGACAGGAAGTCGAGGGGGGAAGGACTGGAGGGTCGTGGTTAATAGTGCGGGAAAGTACGAGTCAAAATCAGGACATCTTGAGGGGGTTTGTGATGCTATCCCTCTCTCAAAAATGGCCAAAGCTGCTCTACTTTTACGTCCACACACAGCCAGTAAACATCTCCCTCAACAATCCAAACGCCACCAACTCCCCTCCTCTCGTCCACCAGTGTGTTAAAGTCACCCGGTGATGACGCAACACCTCATCTGAGTTTGTGGCTTGACTGGGACCCTGGGATGGCATTCCGAGGGTTCCCTGCTAGGAACAAAGACCAGAGCGAACTGCCTATCAGCCCCCGTGTCACGGCAGGAAGGAGACATGGCTACACTCCCCAAACTTGGACATCTCTCCTCGCCCATGCCTCCTCCTCCTCCCTGACACCTTAAAAAGCTGTTTGTTATGAGAAATACAATCATGAATGATAATAAGATATTCTTATAGAAAAACAGGGTATAAGAACAACAATAGCGTGAATAACAAAGACGTATATGCTGATTATTATGGTACTACCACGTATGACATCACCAAGTTTTTCTCGTTTTTTTATTCTGTTGGTAAAATATTTGACTACTTTCTAAGTATCTGTAGATGTGTTCTTGTCTGCTAGTTTCAGCAGCAGGAAGTTTGTTCTTGTTAAGCCAGAAAGACTCTTTTCTGTGGAACAGTTTACTCCATTTTCACTCATCTTTTTGCTTCTTTTCGAACGAAAACTGGATCTCAAAGAAACTTTTGGAGCTGGGAGATCCTTAATGTTTCAGGACAACACAAATCAAGCGCGCACAATACTTTAAACGTTGTTTTTTTTTTTTTTTTGTCATTCCGAACTTGTGTTACTGTGAACAACAGAAGCTGAAGCTGCTGAGAGGAAGGACGTGCCTTAGTGGTCTCCAGTGGAAGTGTCCTCCAGTTCACAAGCAGCAGCGCCAGGATGGACTGCTCGGGGTTCCCATCATTTATGAGCCAAAACCGCAGTAAGCACTGGCTGCTGCCGATGGTTTCAATACCAGATGCTGTTTGAGATCTTTTATATCTTCATAGGAATATTTTACACGTCGGGTACGCGTGTTCAGGATGTCCCACTGTTACTGATGACACTGATGGAAGCCTTGTTTCCTTCAACAACACACATCAGCACTCATGATATCAGCCTCTCTTCAGTGTGGGAATGAAAGCATTACTTACTTTTTGACATTATGAAGCAGGAAAAGCGTTGCGAAGGACAGTAGAAGCTGATCCAGGGAGGCCTCCCGAACACAAGCCGAGGCCTTGGCCAGGTGACTACCTTGTGAGAGGGTTTTTTTTACTCGCTCTGATGTAGATAGTCGGTTTAACTGAGGAGGCCTCTTTTATTGCACAGGACTTTTGACTCGCTGTAGGTTCAGTCACTCAGTAGACATGCCTTATCGCCCCATCACCTCTTTGCTCCTGTTCCGCTGGCTGATGATGAATCATCGTGTACAGACAGGGCCTCTATTAGTGATCTGAAGGTTTAATAATCTGTGGTCGTTGGTGTCACAAGTTCAAGGGCTGTTGTACAGGAGTGCTGAGCACAGAAAAGACCTGCTAGAAAGTGTGGGAAATTATCTTTATCCTCGACATAATGTAAACACACGATACTAAAACTAGTTTATCACTGGCCTGCAACTATTGACGACTAATTAGACAGAAAATGGCATAAAATGTGCAAAAAGATGTAGTTGGAATCGTATTGAGTTTGTAAGAATGACACTTTAAAAAATGGTTTAACTGATTCTCATGTCTAACGCTATTGGCTAACACTTAACATGAAATTGCATGGGACTCTACTGGGCGGGGGAAGGGCTTAGCACAAGACAAAAGATGTGTGGGCATCTCTTTTACAGATTTCAGCAAAATTATACATAATGCCCAAAAGGGGGAAAACTCCAGATTGCAGCTTCAACTACATGACTGGATTAGAAACATACACAAGCAATACTTTTGACGTTGTATTCACATTTAAGAGGACTCTTTCATCTTATAGCTGAAATGGCCAACCTGAAAAACAAGCTAGCTTTTAAACAAAGACACGGTCACGGAACACTAACCGTTCCTGTCGACTATCACCGAAAGCCACATCCACCTGATACCGGAACCCGCTTTGCCACAGTAAACGAGAGCAATAAACACCAGTCACCGTTTTCTAGGTCCAAACAAGTTTCGTTATCCGTGACTTTAATCAGTGTTTATCTTTTTGGGACTCTGGTAGTTTGTCCTAAAGCTGAAGTGGTAGCAGCCGGCTGTTTCTCCTTTTCTGCTGTTATTGAGCGGAGAACCTCTCACACCAGTTCTGTTGAACACCACTGGTGTGAGAGTGTGTGTGATGAGTAAAGTGCAGTGGTTTGGCGAGACTGACAACCGGATGGTCATATTGTTGGTTTTGTATCGAGCCGTATTATTGGCGTAGGTTTGCAGACAAATGCGAGAAAACCCCTATTTTTTTTTCGTTTTTATTTTTATATCGTCACAGAATGTTAAAATGTTGTTAAAAGGCTTAAAATATTATGCTAGCTTGTTTTGCAGATTAACCATTGTAGCTTTATTTAAACTGAGTGTGAAAGTGTCAAATAGATTTTGAACATGGTGCACACATTCTCATTGGTTGTTGGTCTCCTAAAGCCCACCTCCAGTACCTTCAGTTCTATAGAGTCCAAGTCACTTCCGCACCATGGGTCCCCTGAAGAACGAAAAAATGAATGCAAGTTAGCAGGGCTAAAAACGCTGTTTTCCAATCCGCTTTGCCTTATGTTTATGTTTAACATTTAGCAGACGCTTTTATCCAAAGCGACTTACAATTTATAACCTATAGGGCATGTTGTGATCTGTGGGGGAAACCGGAGTGCCCGGAAGAAACCCACGCATGCATGGGGAGAACACGCAACTCCACGCAGAAAGGCTGCAGCCGGGTTTCGAACCTGCGACCCTCGTGCTGCGAGGCAACAGTGTTAACCACTGCGCCACCGTGCAGTCCAGCCTTACGCCCTGGATCACACACATGTTGTATTGCTATTTAAATGAAAAGTAATGATGGGTGTTTCGACCACGCCAGTCAAGTACTTTGAGATTTATTAGCTTGTAAATGTTCGTAATTAGCATGACGACAAACTAGAAATTGGTATGTCGCATTCGTGACGTCACCACATAATCTTCTCTCCCCAAAGTAGCTGCTTCTTACCAAAAGACCATGATGTGGAAGTGACTTGGGCTTCCTATTGGTAGCCTAACCTTTCTGCCATTTTTCCTCTGCTTTTCTTTGTTTCTGGTTCGATGCCGTCGTTTTGGTGATGCGCATTTGTAGACCTGGACGTATTTTTCACACAAAACCTAAAATAACTTTTGCTCCCATTTGAAAATAAGTGTGTGCTTGGCATCAAAATGCATCTTTAAAATTCATGGACATCATATGTGAAATCCATGGCACGTAACAAATAAGATTGGAAAATAGCGTTTTTAGCCCCATTGACTTGCATTCATTTATCCGTTCTTCCGGGGACCCGTGGTGCAGAAGTAAATGTGCGTGACTTAGGCTTCATTCTTTGGAAAAAACAGTCAAATGAAACCAAGAATAGTGGATCAACAATAGAAATCAGGAGCAGAGCGGCGCCAAACCAATCATGGCCGACTAATGGAAAATCCCAAATCCAAAACAAACATTTGGAGGCATTTTGAAAACCGTTTGTCACCAACAGTTGTGGCCAGTGAGATGCTGAATTATGTTGTGTTTGTGGGCAGAAGCTCATTAATTTTTAAAAATCTGTTTATTTTTCTCTAATTGTTCGTGAAATAAGCAGCCTGTTCTGAGCTCCATAAATACAAAGACTGATCGAGTTAGCCTTAAATCTGATTCACACTCTCTCTCTTTTTTCTCTTTCCTACACACACACACACACACACACACACACACCCATCACAATCCTAATAAATAACTTGGGATCTCTGGAATTTTTTTATACAAAAACACATTGAAAGTTCAGGTGAAACATTGAGAACAAGGAGTTTTCATAAGGAGGCTCCGATTAGGAAAATGAGTCTGGAAAGACTTTAGCGTGGGCATCAATCCGTGTCACCATTAAATATGTTTCAGTCTTTTATCTTGTAAATAATCTATTTAAACAACAAAAAACTTTTCACTGTACAGTAAACAGACAGACAAGGATGTAACTTTCAATATGTTTTACAACAATTTAAGAAATAAACAAAATTATGATAAAAACTCGTAAAACAAAAAACACAAAAATATGCAAACTATAGTTAAGACAACTATTACTAATCAAAGTGATATAATTGAACTTTGTTTTCTTTAAATCCATGTTTACTTAATTATAATAGTTTTACCAATCAGTATATACAGATTATGTTAAGAATTCTGCTTTTTTCCCCTTAATTTCGATAAATTGTTGGAAATTAAGGGAAAATTACCGTAGGTGTAGACGTTTGGTGATTAATCAGGGACGTTTTAGTTTTAGGAGCTTTGGTTAAGTTTCCTCTGGGATTGTGTTAGATCCTCTCTTTTTAAGGTAAGCTACATCTCCATGCTTTTCTGAGATAGATTTGATTATCTACACATATGTGATACAATATTACATGTATACAGAGGTGGTATTTGCATATAGAGGCAGTATGTTGTGGTCCTTCATTTTTATTTCAAGCAGCCGTTCTTGTGTTTTCGTGTTGCCCGTATTTTTTGGGATTTGGGCTCCAAACGGTAATTGCACACAGAATTTAGAGCCATCGTCGGCCCGGCCTATCCTGCTCCTCTCTACATCTGGGATAGACATCACTGTGGTAAAAGGAAGGTACACGCTCAGAAACACCGGACATTTCTCGGTGTGCCAGCTGCTGAGGATTTCAGCACAAACATGGTGGAGAACCGTAGTTTCCTCTCACTGAGGCTGAAATGCATTTGTGCAACCCCTTATTAGAAGACGAAACATTTGTTCTCTCATTTTAAAGCAGATTTCTGCTGCAGAAACAAACTGTTGTTGCTTTCATTGAACTGTGTTGTTAAACTGTGATTTGACCGCTGACAAAATGCTTTGGATTCTGGTTTATTTTTGTTTTTCAGCTCTGTATGTGTCTGTGCAGGACAGAAAAGATCTTTTTATTATTTTTTGTGCACATATGCAGTCTGAAATCCTTTCATGACCCTTAGATTTTGCTCGGTACTAATTCCAATAAGTTTCTGTCATCCCCCCTCCCCCGCCGTCACCCGCTCATTTTTCGCTCCTGAACTGCTTTGATAGAAACATGGAAAATACATCAGTGTACATAAACTTTAATTTATTTACTAATTAATTCAACATATTTGCAATAAACAACCATAACAAACAGGTGAAGTTCATATTATACTCTTGGTGTGTTATATTTCACTTCCTGTTCCTGTGTCTTTGGTCATCGGAGGACTAGCTGGAGCTGTGAAGCAGAGGTGCACCTGGCACTGTTAAATCCTGGTAGCTTCAGGTCTTCATGCCTGCAGCTGTTCTGCGGCGTTCATGCTCAGGTTTGGCCATGAAGCAGATTCAGCCAGACTCATCATGAGCCTTTAGTCCCCTTGAAGCCAAATGCCGCAACACATTTGTTCATGCGGCGTTCGAATAATGGTCAGAAAACGACAACAATTCCATAATAATAAATAACAGCATGACTGTGGAAGTTCCAACTTGTTGACAATCCACACAGGTCTGGTCAGGACAGAAAGACGAACCGTTTTAAGAACCGTAACTAGTGAGCGGTTGGCTTCCTTTGTTAACCAGAGAGAATCTTAATCAGAAAGTCTTTTTTTCAACACAAACCTCCACAAAATACACTCCTACGGTGCAAATATATGACTGTGATAATTTTTTTTTGTTTCTTTATTTCAGCACAGTCATGACTTTATCCCAGCGTAGAGCAGCTTCCAGACCCTGTGCATGCAACTGCACCAAACTACCAGTACAAAGAACAGTCAGTGTGCATCACATTTCCCTTTTTGCACCAGCAGGGGTGAAATTTCCAGTGCCCCAACACCATTCAATTCAGCCACGCTGATTGGCTCCCTAGCAACCATTCAATTTGGGAATTTAATTGAACTTCTACGGCTCTTTGATGGTTAAATTGGGGGAAAATCACTGCTGAATGTGTCAAATGATGGGAATGTTGTGTAAAGATTTCAGATTGCATGTAGGAACAGTACTAAGTACAATTGGCACACTGATAATAAAATATGTAAAAATATATACACCTATGTATTTTCTCCTCTCCACATCTGAGAGTGGCACCCCAGTGCCCCCTCTGGACAAGCCACTGCTCACAAACACTGTGTCCCTTTTTTGATGGCCTGAACGCGCTAACGGAGCAAAAACATCACGATTGAGAAGGTTTTATTCTAATTTTCTCTTAGCAATATTACCTAAACAACACCATGGCACCGGGGGTCACGCTGGCTTGTTTTAATATTTTTTTTCCCTTTGAGATAAAAGCGTAGAAGCTTAGATGTTTCTTGTCTTGCTTGATGGACATGAGCTTTGACCTTGTGGACAGGAAGATCTGAACTGTGATATCACCTCTCTGATGTGATTTTGTGTGTGTGTGTGTGTGTGTGTGTGTGTGTGTGTGTGTGTGTGTGTGTGTGTGTGTGTGTGTGTGTGTGTGTGAGGAGGGGAGGTATTTTCAAATGTGTTTCTGAGTAAGCTATTTATAATTACTACCAACTGGAGATGACTGAAGTTCATACAGTTTTAATGAATTCAAAATTCACTTTTTTAATTGCTAATTAAAATGTCGTATGAACACATTAGCCCACCACCGAGTTGGTTCAGTCCAGCTCAGTCACAATAGATCTAGAAAAAAAACGCCCCCTAGTGGCTGGTTGCCATACACGTTTTCATCCCTGCCCACTCTGTGTAGACCAATGAGACTTTGCCCTGACTTAACTATAAAAATATTGTTACATCTTCTTTACTTGTATAGGTCTTACCGTGCTGAATGTACAGATATTTTTTGTCACATATTTAGTTGTGAATAGTTATCTGATGCTTAAAAACCTACCATGATAATGTGTGGGTCAGTCGTGCTCAAACCCAATAATACAACATGGCAGTGACTGTAAATGGCATAGACATGATTACGTAGACATGCCATTGAGCAATGGAGAGCGTAACAGCTTCGCCGCCATATTGAATGGGTCCCTCACTAGCTAAAGCAGAGTTAGCAACTGAGCCCAAGTTTTTGTGTGGCCTACGGTTGCAACAACTTTTGAAAACGGATCACGTGGGATTATTATTGACTTTTCTAGCCCACCATTTAAATTTTAATTTATTTTCTTTTATTATAGTTATATTTTAACTATCATGCCACATGTATGATTTTGTGAAAATGCTTGAAAAAGCTTGATAAAATAAAATAAAAAGCTTGATAAAATGCATTTTTTGTTGGACAAAGACCTTCCTCAGCAGACATAAATGCACTGGGGGTGAATGGAGACCCATCCAAGATGGTGGCCCGCTGCTATGCTAGCTGTGATTGGCATCGCCGGTCCACGTCACGTCTGCGTATTTGCTGTCTGTGGTGAATGGGACAGAAGAAGGCTGAGTCTAGTCATTTAAGTCAAACTGGAGTTTTGGTTTCTTCCTGTTGATAGCTGCTAAAGTCAGCATTTTGTGGCTGAAATGACAACTTCTCATAAATCAGACTGACCTAAAGTGAAGATTTTATCATTGTAGTTGTAGCTGTCAAAAGCTCTCATTGAACTTTTACAGAAACTTGGCCATATCTTATGTCTAGTCATTGGCTGCACATTTAACCGAGCTAAACCAACAACCCACCAGCTATAAAATACTTTGAACAAATAGAATAGACATTATTATTATTAGATTTTGAGATGAGGTCTTTATCTTTATGAACCTCTGTGAAATTTCTAACCTTGAAGAAGTTTTAAGACAACGTTAACAAATTTTGTTCGTGGCTTTGTTCGAATTATTTGTTAACTCATTGGTTCTCCTGATGGATGTAAAAGCTATTTCTCTGAGCAGAAGCTGTTCAGGAAGCTATCTAAAATGAGTTCTATAGTAATAATTTATAACTTTTACACAGAAACACACATTAAAAGTGGCAGAAAATATTTTTAAACCGTCCTTTCACTGTCCCTGTCCCTTTTTCTTACAGAGCTACGTCTTTGTGTGTGTTTTATCTACTGATAATGCTTCATATTGATGCAAACTCAATTTTCTATGAAACAGTGTACAGTTTTGTTTGTTCATTTGGCTGTTTTCCATCCTCGTCACTCGTAAGAACCGACTGCTGTAACATAAGGGGTTGCTACTAAATGTATTTCACAAGTTTGACAAATTTTCTCTGAAGCTACACAATCTGATAAAATGACCTGTGGGTGACAAAAATGTAAGATAGAACTAATATCACTTGTATACATAATCATATACAGAATATTATTCTTGGCCATTGTTTTTTCTCTTCTCGTGGCCCTTTTTCTTTAAAAATAATGCCAAACTTTTTACACCATACGAACAGAAAAAAAACTAATAACTGTACAGGTTGTGTATATACTGAACACAGGGGGAAATATTTACCTTCACCTTCTTTTTCTATCAAAATGAGCTCAAGTAATCTCAGTAACAAATTTAACCATGTCATGACAAAATTGCAAAAAATAATTTAAAAAATCTTTAAGGTTATTCTAATAAGGATAATGTCGATATCTACCATTATAAGTGCTGAAATAAGACTATTCTTTCTCTTTGTACATGATGAACAAAATGACGTGTTGAGTATTAATAATAAAAGGTATAAATTTCACACCTGTGCCGCTGAGTCTCTTGTTTGCATAAACGTGTAAAAGCACTGATTTATTTTCATTACTTGGTGTTTGTCTTGTTGATTCACCCACACACTCTTTAATGGATAAACTAAAACCCTTCATTTGAGTATTTCTTCCAGCATTTTTAGGAGGCACTTGAATTGTTATGCTTTCAAGCAAGCTACTTGCTGCTGAAGCTGGCGTTCTTCCTCCCCTGGCTGGCAGGAAACCCCGTTGGAGGAGGAGGAGGGCTGCCGGAGAAAGTGAGGCCATATGGTGACTGTGTGGTGAGTGGTTGGGTCTTGGGCTGCAGGGGCGCCTGCAGAAAATTTTGATGGGGTGGCCAGATGGGACCAAAGAAATTTTTGGGGTGGCACACCAAATTGGTCCATGTGGTAACTCTGGGAGAGTTTAGCCTGTGGCGATGTACTGCATTGCTCCTTTATTCATTTTTATTTAAAAAAAAATAAATAAATACGGTACGTATCCAAAACATTTAACTTAAATTTTACAAACCCAAACATATCAGAAAAATACATTTTAGTTATTTAATTTTTTATTTCAAATTTAATTTAAAAAGGTATTTTTCAGGTTAATTCACCTGATGCTGTGTTCACAAAAAACTATGGAGATAAAAACTTTTTTTAATTGGTTAGCAGCAGAAACATATTTCTTTACTCATTAATTGTATTATTTTTATTTTGTTTTACAATTATGTCTTGAATAAACAAGATCATTACATAGTTTGACTGAACATTAATATGATTTATCAACACTGGCTATTCCTGTGAGGGCAGCTGTTTTTAGGGGTGGCCATGGCCACCCCTGACCACCCCTTGGGGGCACCCTTGTTGGGCTGTCCCCTCTACAACCCGCACTGCTGCTGGCGCTCCCCAGAGCCTCCCCTGATGCCCCTCAGAGTTCTCCCAGGCTACTCCGTTCATGCAGCAGGGAGGTGATGATGGACCTGTCATTAAGAGTTTCACAGTTTTGTGTATTTATTTATCCAGATCATGACTGCAAAACACCATGTTACCTATTAAACAAGACTGAAAATCTGGATTCAAAACGTGAGTCCACCCTTGCTGCGTCTAAAGCATTTCGATCAGAAAGTATCTGCCAGAGAAGAAGACCCTCTCAAAAAGCAGGTGGTCTCAGCCTTCCCTGTCAAAAGCCAAGATGAGTGAGTCCATGAATGATAATGCGACGTAGATCTGTCGGGCTTTTCTAGTCCGAGTGCTTCTCCGTCTATTTTCAATCTGTGGCTAACGTAGGAGATGGGGTAGAAGACTATTTTCACATTTAGCCTGCTGGTTAATCTCTGAGTGACTGATTGTATTTAAAAATAACAATCAAAATATTCGAAAACGGGTAGAATGCCTTCTCCGGGACAGGGATGAGGTCCTGCCTCAAGTGGAGGAGATTAAGTATCTTTAGATCTTGTTCACGAGTGAGGGAAAGATGGAGCGCGAGATGGACAGGCAGATTGGTGCTGCGTCTGCAGCGATGCGGGCGTTGTACCTGTCTGTCGTGGTGAAGAGAGAGCTATGCCGGCCCGGAAAGCAAAGCTCTCGGTTTACCGTTCCTACCCTCACCTATGGTCACGAGTTTTGGGTAGTGACCGAAAGGTAGAGATTGCGGATACAAGCGCCCGAAATGAGTATTTTTCGCAGAGTGGCTGGGCTCTCCCTTAGAGATAGGGTGAGAAGCTTGGTCATCTGGGAGGAGCTTGGAGTAGACCCGCTGCTCCTCCACATCGAGAGGAGCCAGTTGAGGTGGCTCGGGCATCTGATTAGGATTCCTCCTGGACGCCTCCCTGGAGAGGTTTTCCGCGCACGTCCAACCGGGACGAGACCTAAAGAGAGACCCAGGACTCGCTGGAGGGACTATGTCTCTCACCTGGACAGGGAACGCCTTGGGATTCCCCCGGAAGAGCTGGCCCAAGTGGCTGGGGAGAGGGAAGTCTGGGCCTCTCGAGTTAAGCTGCTGCCCCCGTGACCCGACTCTGGATAAGCGGAATAAAATGCATGGATGGACAATCAAAATACAGTTTCTCAGTGAACTCGGCCTTTAATGCAGCAATCGGCAGTCTTTTCTCGTTTCAGGATGAATAGATGATTTTTTAGAAATCCACAAGAGTGGTAGTCTTACCCTTTAAGATATAATGTAGGCAATACATCTTTTTTCTTCTGCTAAGCATGCTCCCACGTCCCACAGAGTCCCATGCAATTTCAATCAAGCACCCGTCAGCATGACCCCGTAGCATTCGACATCGGCTGACACACAGATGTCGACCACAAAGCGTGCTCTAGCATTTGCAGATGTAACTATAGTGATCCAGAGTTCATGACACTTCTTATAGCCAAGCAAGTCTTGATTCTATTCTACGTCATATCTGCTAGCTGTTACCATTCACTTACATTGTTTGTGCTAAGCTAAAGCAAACAGGAGAATGACTGGACTGTTTACAAAATGCTTTGTCCCACTTATCTAACCCTTGGGAATGTGGAAAAGACTGAATTTCACTTTGGGGTGGATATCCATCATGTAGACCAAAGTAGTCTAATCTGAGTCGGTCTGGCTCAAAGGGGGTTGTGAGAGGGATAATATGTTGCTTTTAAGCTTAATATACTACCTTCACTTATGACCAATAAGATGTGATATTCTATATAACTTCGGGGCGGCAGTAGCTCAGGTGGTAGAGCGGGTTGCCTCATGATCGGAGCGTCATGGGTTCGAATCCCAGCTCCCACCAGGGGTATCCTGCTGTTGTGTCCTTGGGCAAGACACTTCACCCAACTTGCCTGTGTTAGTGGTGGTCAGAGGGGCCGACGGCGCCAAATGGCAGCCTCGCCTCTGTCAGACCTCCCCAGGGCGGCTGTGGCTACAAGTAGCTTACCATCACTAGCAGTGTGAGTGTGTGAAAGCGTCTTTGGGTGTCTAGAAAAGCGCTATATAAGTTCAATGCATTATTATTATTATTATTATAACTATAGGATATCAACCTGATTGATATTTGAATGTTTAATCAGAAGAATTATGATTCTCTGCTTTTTCAGTGATCACAACACACTTCGTATTAATTCAGGCAAAGTCAAGTTTATAAAAAGTAAGAATTTTATTTTCTAAACAAATTAAAAACAAGACAAGTCATAAATAAGACAAATGTGATGGATGAATATAAGTGGATGGAATGTGATGCACCATGATGGAATGGTGTGTGATGTTTACCAGAACCTTTGTATCTGAAGTGTGTGTGTGTGTGTGTGTGGACGGTCTTGTTCTGTGTGAAAACGAAGCAGTGCAAGTGATAATGCTGCAGGATTTCATTATTTTATTCTTCTCAGCACCAGTACTGCAGGTGCTCTCCATGTCCATAATGTGTGTAAGCCAGGTCCTTAGTCGATGCAGTTTTCTTTCACAAATCCCAAAGTTTGCGTAGAAAGTTGCTTACACAGTTTTCCGACCCCGTTTTGTGCGTAAGCAAGCTTGATAAATGAGGCCCCGGGTCTGGAGGCTGCTGATCAGACAGCTCTGTTTTCTTTAGCTCTGTGAACATCTGTGTTCTGCCTCAAAACTGTGTGTTTGTGCACTTTCAGGAGCCATTAACAGTTCCTATTAAGGCTTTCCTTCTTATGAGGACGCTCTTCCTTCTTTTTATAAACCTAGTTGTAATTATTTCACCTGAAATTCTGCAGTTCATTCGCGTTTATCTGGAAAAGTCACTTTCTGTTGTGAGTTTGTCTTCTTTCAGTTGTGATTTGCTGCTGTTTGGTGGTCCATGGTCATTTTCAGCCCTCTTTCAAAAGTTCAAGTATTTAAAATATCAAATGTGGGGATATGCAAGAATATAGTCATAATATTATATCCGTCTTTAATCCAATCCACTTTAATCTGTTTTACTTTGGGTTTTTATAAGAGAAGAGGAGATTCCATCATTTTAATGAGCTTCAGAGGTCACAAGAATTATTTTTGAGCAGATAGAGGTCTTATTGGAGGCTCTTTTTAAAGCAAGATGGGCAAAACTGACATAAAAGAGATCACTGAACCCACTGGCGGATTTAGCTATTTGGGGGCCGAAGGTGAACACAGACATGGGGCCCCCTTACACTAAATTTTCCACAATCTTACCTTTAACTCGTTCACTGCCAATGATGACTAAAGTCGTCATTTGCATTTTTTTACTGTATGGGTGTCGGACGAGCCCCCGCACCGTGAGAACAAACATCTCAGCTCTAAAGCCGATCTTCATCTGCGTACGTCACACGTCACGTGATCAGGAAGCAGAACATCCATGTGTTAGGAGATCGTTTTGGGCAGCTGGTGTAGAAAAAGTGAGGCTCGAACCGGAAAAGCTTCTGCCGATCACAATTCAACAACGGATTACGAAAGAACGGATAACGCTCGAAACGCGCAGATTCTTCCTGATGTACGAGGTGAGTCTCCGCTTTGTTTTGGTTGTTTTGGCGTCGACATCATCCTAGCGCGCAACGTTCTGTGACTCTTAAAAAACAGTAAAAACGGTGAAAAACGCTGGCAGCGAATGAGTTAACGGGATTTGCGAAACTCTCCCCTCTTCTGACACGAGTTATTTTCACTTTTTATTTGTCCTCCTCTTTTTCCTGTCTTTCTCTCCCTTTGAGTGCCTTCAACATTTGCTCTGTTTTCTTCTTCCTGTCAGTGCTCCTGTGCTTTGCCTTCTTTTTTTTCTATTTTCTATTTTGGTTTATGTTTTCCTCACTTTAAACATTTTCCATTGTCTTTCCTTTCTGCTTCCTTTTGATGTTTACGTTGAAAAACGACGTCTCTTTTGGAAGTGAAGATAAAATCTTTTTTGAAGCGAGCTGCTTCTTTCTCTTATTGGAGCCACTAGGACAACTCCATTTCATGCTTAATGTTTTGACTATCGCTTCGAATTTGTTACGAACGCTCCCGCCTCTCTTCTTCTTCTTCTTATTTGTGCTCGTATAGCACTTGGCAAACAACAACTTGGTGCATT